CGCGGCTGGCTGTGCCGGCGGAAGTGGAAGACCATCGTGCAGGACTACATCTGCTCCCCGCACGCGGAAAGCATGCGGAAGCGCAACCAGATCGTGTTCGCCATGGTGGAGGCCGAGGCCGAGTACGTCCACCAGCTCTACGTGCTGGTCAACGGCTTCCTGCGGCCCCTGCGGATGGCCGCCAGCTCCAAGAAGCCGCCCATCAGCCACGACGACGTCAGCAGCATTTTCCTCAACAGGTTCGTCCCGGCGCACGTCAGAGGGGCCCGCGAAGAGCCCACCTGCAGTTCCGAAAAGCGCTTTTGCTCTACTTTTCAAAGAGTGGTCTTCAGCAGTGCGCTTTTATGAGTCTGTGATCCTGAAGATAGGACAGCTATTATCTGTGTTTCATTATCGGTCCAATTTGTCCGTCGCTACCTTGAGTCTGGGCGTGTAGTTTTCTGTTTTTCTTCTCTGTTCGGCGTGTTTTCGCGCCCTCGAGTGGGGGGGTGCGCGTGCTGGGGAAGGTGCCCCCCTCACAAACTGAGCCCCGGGTGATCCCAACGTGTAGACTTTGGAGGTGGAAGGGGCTGCAAAGTGACAGGGAAGAGGGTCGGTTAGGGTTGTGGGGTGGAAACAGAAGGGGGCTTGTCCTGAAGACCAAGGCGAGAGGGAATGACAGCCAGGTCAGAAAGGCCCAACAAAACCATAACTGAGAACCGACCGTGGGTTTAATAACTCGGCGCTATTGGTAAATTTGATGGGGGGAGCGGGAGCATCAAAGCCCGACGGAGAGAATGGAGGCACTGGAACTGGAGAGAGGGCGTGGCAAGCTTTCAAAGCAGGGGTGCTGTGAGGAAGGGCAGGGAGACAGGGTGGAACCTGGAGGGAAGCAAAAAGTATGAAAAAGCGTGTGTGTGTGTGTGTGTGTGTGTGTGTGTGTCTGTGTGTGTGTTTTAAGATGGGATAAAATCTTGGAGGAGGGGAGTTCAGAGCCCCAAGATGCCAGGGTATTGGAATGTTCTTTGTGTGCACACTGGAGTCATGACAGGAATCATGACAAGAATTCGGGCAGGAGGAGTGCTGGAGAAAAGCCTGGCAGCGAGCTGGGGCTAGGAGCTCAGGTGTTAGAAGAGAGGCTGGGTCTGCAGATGAAGGGGAGCGTAATGAAAAGAAGTCTGATAACATGTGATTAAAAGCTAGGCTTTGCTGTGGTGAGGAAGGAAGGAGATTTCCCCACGTTGGGTGACAATGGCTTCGCTCAGGGCTAAATTATATTATTTTTGCATTTTTTTGTAGTGAAACAATCATGTTTCTTCATGAGATATTTCATCAAGGACTGAAGGCAAGGATAGCAAACTGGCCTACTTTAATTTTAGGTAAGTGCATGCTTTAGTTTCTCTTACTAGGGCTATAATGAGAGTAAAATCATTTCAACATTATTCAGCCAGAGCTGTTGAATTTTCCCACTGATCTGTGAGCTACGTTAGCCACTGGGAATCTGTCTCATTGGCCTTCGGCCCTGCCCTACTACTTACCTTTCCCCTGGCCTGTCATGGTCATTTGGGGCTAGAGTCAGGCTCTGCCCCAGAGAACATTCTGTCTGATCGGTCATTCAGGCATCTGGTCTGGGTCCCCATGCATGTGTGACACCTGGTACTGGGAGGAGCACTCCCTGCCACTCCCGTTGAGTGAACACAGTCTCCCCCCTGTGCCTTAGGTAATTTACTGATCACCAAAAGAAACTGCCATTTTACCTCTTCTTTCAGCTGATCTGTTTGACATTTTGCTCCCTATGCTGAACATTTATCAAGAGTTTGTGCGTAACCACCAGTACAGCCTCCAAGTGCTTGCCAATTGTAAGCAAAACAGAGATTTTGACAAGCTCTTAAAACAGTATGAAGCCAACCCTGCCTGTGAAGGGAGGATGCTAGAAACGTTCTTGACCTATCCGATGTTTCAGGTGAGTCCTCTGGGGTGCATATTGTGAGCCACTGCCCCGGCTCAGTGTTCCTGATGCCTAGTTAGAGCAGAGAGAGAGTGCAGGGATCCCCTGTGAAGAAAGACTACACATATGCATCACCCGACATCTGGAGCTTGACCCTGAGATAAACAAATTTATGCCCCACATTCTCTCTCTGTCTAGTATATGTAAGAAAGCCGGGCATTTTTTAGACAATTACATAAAAAATGATTTTTTTGAAAAGCAGCACAATTTTCTCTTTACCAAAAGATTCCACACAGACCTCTTCCATGAAGCCTCCTCCTCCGGCATGTTTAAAAATATTATTAGGGTTACAGAAATAGGATGCTGTGCGAATGTTCCAGTGCATGCTGGCTGCGTAGAAGGTTCCTGAGAAGTGGAGCGGACTCTTACGGGGGTGGGAGTTTTTCTGCCCACCCTCCCCACCCTGTCGTATGGCTGCTGAGTCCCCCATGGCGGGAGCTCTGGAGAGCAAGAGGAGGACCTCCCCGGTCTCAGAGGCTGTGGACACTTAGGAACCAGAGGCACTGGCCGGATCAGGGACTCTTGGTCCCTCTCAGGATGCTGCAGGGAGGCCGGAGCTTGTCGTGACATTCTTTGTGGGATTAGAACAGCCCAAGGGATCAAGTACACTTGTGTCCTTTCCTATATCTTGGACTTGACCATTAAGAGCTCTTGAGGGAGAATTGCAGAGGCCAAAATGTGAACTGAATTGCCTGTTCTCTTGAGAAGTGTTGATTCTGTTCTTTTGGAAAGGCATCGAGTGTTCCGATGTGGAATTTATGGGGCTTCTGGCCAGCCCTCCAAATTGTCCTGTGGTAAACCGATTCCCCGAATTATGCGTGTTTGGGTTTCTGTGGGGATCTTTGTCCCCCTGAACAGGCATTGCTGACTCTGGCAGATCATTTTCTAGCTTCAGAAAGGAATGTTGGTCTGGTTTGTAATTGTTTGTCTCAAAGTTTGTCAGTCCTGCTTGAAATCCTGGAAGTTGCCATAGAAGTTTAGTAAGGTTTCTAAAAACCAAAAAGATGCATTTGAAATAGCTTAAGTATAGTGAAACTTTTTAATGTTATTGTGCTTTTTCATGGAACTGGATTGTTTGAACTCTTTGCCTCTCTGAGGAAATGTTTCACAAGGAAAACTTCAAAGCAAAAAAAAGTTTTTTTTTTTTGGTAACTTTATACAAAATTGTAATTTAAGATTTACTTGCAGTGAAACAAATTTTGTATAATGCAGTGTTCTTCTGAGATTCTATTTGAATTCTGGGCAGTTGCCTCTAGGTTCTGATTAAAATACCCTAAATTGTATCTGCTCAGCAACCCCAATTCAGGTGAATATACAAAGGTAGAGTGTGAAAGACACGTGGAACATTTGGAAAGGTACCCAGCTCCCTCTCTCACAGCCCACCAATGTCTTTCCAAGTGCTGTTTAATTCTCCCTGGTGGGACTCTCTGCAATGCTGTAAAACGGCAGACTACACTTGCACTGTAGTTGAAGTGTCCAATAGTTGAATGTGGGGCATTGGAAAGGCCTGTGGATTTCTTAATAATGCTGTGGTGCTCTTCCACCATCCTCCCCTCCCTGTCCGTGGAGTTTAAGCCCAGTAACAATGACCTGGCATTTTGATTGACCACAAGTACTTCCCGTAATATCAGACAAGGGCCATTGGACTGGGAATCTTTAGGAGACCTGGATGTCTTGCTCATAGCATTGGGGCAAATAATTGAACCAATTTAAATGTCCATTTCTAGATCTCTAAATTGAGGCAGCTGAGTTCTAGTTATCTCCTGAGTACTAGCTCTCTGGCTCTGTGATACTACTTGCACTAGACCGGTTCTGAAAGTTTAGTTGGGTAACTACGTGGTGGTGTAAGCAGCTTGCATTAGTCTAGGACCCCAGCCCTCTCTGCCCCTGCCAAGACTGTGGTGGCCCCAAACCCTAGAATTTAGCTGAAGGATCAGATGTTGAGATTTTCTGGATTCTTCCAGACCAGGGTAACCAAAAGCCTCAGTTTATGAGAGCCATTGCTCTGGGAGAAACCTCAAACTTAGAGAATTTGGCCAGAATTGTTCCAACTGCAAGAAATGGGCAAATTGAAAGAGCATGGAATTGTGCTCTTTATTTGTTTCCCCATAACTATTTGGCCTCCCTGTAACTAGTTTGAATAGACCCAAAGGGGAAATCATCAGTTTGCTGCCCAAGGGCCCTGTGCTTGTTGGTGTCTCTCCCCTGTCTTGTTCCTTTGTTATCTGTCCCTCCTACTTGTCTCTCTGGAGTGACACGTGAAACACTTGGAGGGGGGGTTATTGCTCTTTCCAGAAGTGTAAAGGTTTTTACTACTAGGCCCACATCCATTCCACTCTTGTTTCATTTTTGCTTTTTTACTAATGAGGTGAAATAGTCATGAGGCATTTGCTCTCTCTGCATACATTCTATGTTAGTGGGACTTCCTCCGCGCTCTGGTGTAGGCTGGACACCTTGGGGTGAGGGTGGGCACTTCAGTTTTATGATGTATAGCAACAGTGGAAGAGATGACCCTAGTTCATACTGCCAAGGGGCCTATTTTCAGAGTTATTTTTTTTAGCTTGTATGTGGGACAGAGGTTGGTGTGGAAGCGAGGCAGGGGGAAAGGTGATTGGCAACTTGTAGCCTGTGTATGTGTAGAAGAGAAAAGTTTTATTCTACCCTTTTCTGGGCCCTTTGCCCATTAAGTCAGTTGCTGCTGTTAATGAACTATGTTGAACTATGGAAACATGAAGGAATTTTAGAATTTGGATGATGCAATGAATATATCCTCAATCGAACTATCAGACAAGCAAGTCCAAGTGTTGCCAAGAAATTTATAATGGAAAATAATGCATTCATTAAAATAATTTTTATTTAGCAAAGACAGTGGCTTTTCTGGGACTGTTTAAATTGACTTCAGCTGCTCATAAATCCATAGGTAAGCCAATCATAAAATCTGCCTCTGACAAGAACGGCACCATTAGATGTTCTCCAGAAAGTAGCCGCCTGGTACTGTAATTGGAGAGCAAGCTAATTAACATCTCTAAAGTGTTAAGTATTGTTCCACAATTGAAAGCAGAATTATGATTCATCCAGACCAGTAATTTTCAACCAGTGTGCGGCAAGAATTTTTAAAGCATGCAATACCTATTTAGTCAGGGGCACTGACCTCTTTTCCCTTAGATTGTCAAATAAAAAAGAGAGACAACAGTCAACCCAACAATAGTCATCCGGTGTGAATGAACCAAAATTATACCTGTATTTTTGTCAGATAGGTAAAAAATATATTTTTTGGTGTGTTGCAGAATTTTAGCAATTAGTTTATGAGCCATGAGATGAAAAGGACTGAAAATCTCTGATCTAGACAGTACTTTCTATGATTCTTGGGGTTTTGGAGAACAGATTTATAATCATCTCTTGAATATATAGATGAGCTCTTTGGAGAGCTGTCCACTTCTCTGTAGAACGTTCTTTGCCCACTTTGTGTCAGTTTCAGGCTTGTTTGTTCCTCCTCTAGAAAGTGGAAAGGGCCAGTTGCTAAATTTCAAATCCATCCTCTTGAATCTTAGCCAAGGAGCTTTCTAAAATAGATTGAATTAATGGGGGAGGATCATGAAGGGCCTGACTATGCTTAGTTTTGTGGGTTTCCAGTGTATTATAAGTAGTCAGGCTCTCCCACTCCTGCCCTTTTTGTTACGAAAATTGAGTACATTAGCTGGTGATTGCCTGGCTTTCCTTGTAGACTACTAACTTAGAGACAAACTTTTATCAATCATGGGATTATGCAAAAGGGATATTGGAAGGCCTCCTTATCCCAGGAGCCTTCCCAGGTGGGCCAGGCCTACAGGCTGTCTTGGTGAGTTTATGGGATGGAGAAGCAGAAAGCCTTCAGATGGAAGGACTCCTTGTTCCCCATCCTCCTATGACTAGGGAGTCTGAATGCACTGCTGAAAGCTTGACTTAATGACATTCCCTAGGATGTGATCCAGAGCAGGAGCTGCAGATTGATGTCTGCACTGATGACGCTGCCCTCTGTGTTCCGCACATAAATAGGCATCCAGTAAATGTTAGTAAATTCCTCAAAGAAGGCCACCACCTGCAAGGCAGCAAAAGCAAATCTGTGGATAGAGCCACCAACACCTCGGGTCAGAATGCAAGGAGATACCCAAAGCGCTCTGCAAAATTGTTTTACTTTCTTCATTCTCAGAGGTCCTTTCAAGTGCTGAGTGAGACCCCAGTGCTGGAGCTGACTTAGTGGGCTAATGCACTGGTCAGAGCTGGCTTCATGGCCAGCTCTGCTGTTTACTATGAGGCCACCTTGGGCAAATTACTGACCCTTCCACACTGTTTCCTTTACTGTAAAATGGGAAACATTCCTTATGTTGCTGGAGGATTGGATGCACGTGCAAACCTTGAGCACCTGATCCGATCCACAATGAGCAGCATTATGGTAGCTATTGTTCATGTATGTTATTAAAATTAAATCACGGTCCCTGCTTTCTAAAAAATTTTAGTTTCTAAGCAGTAAAAGTTAAATATGTTGAATCACTGTAACTTGAGTTAAATCTCTGCTATAGTCTATTAAAACCTTCATGGGATTGGTGGAGTTTCTGCCTTTGACAGAATGCAGATAGTCTGTTTATAAACAAAAGAATGAGTAAATAATCTAATCAAGCAATACTTTTTACTGCTAGAAGGATGAGTTGAGGTAAAGCAGAATCAGAATGTAATAAGGGTGAACATATTTTCTCCCAAGTTTTAATCCTTAAAGAGAACATTACAGTAAGATTGTCAATTTTTTAAAAATTTTGTAAACAGACAAATATATATAATGTATAGACTCTACTGACTTGATAACTATATCTGTTTCCCTATGAACCAATTTTCAAAAATTATGATTAAGAAGTGTATGATTATATTAAAGATCTAAAGAAACAATTTCTTTATAACATAACACTTTATTACTCTTTTCATGTGTTCCTGGGGAATGTGTGTGTGTATGAGAGAGAGAGAGAGAGAAAGTTTGAAGTGTAATTCATTTTAAGTGTTCCAAAATATATTTCTTTAAAAAATATGTTTGTAAAGCAATTAAAACCGTAAGAGTAGAGATGAGCTTGGAAGTGATCATGGCACAGTAGAGAATGCCCAGATATTACTGGTCCTCACCTGTCGCTCACACTGGCCTTTGTTTGCATTTAGATCCCTAGGTATATCATCACGCTTCATGAACTCTTAGCTCATACACCCCATGAACATGTGGAGAGGAAAAGTTTGGAATTTGCTAAATCAAAACTTGAGGAACTGTCCAGGTACGCAGAGAACTTGCAATAAAGGCCTGTTACAGGAAAGCAGCAAGTTATTTTGTGGAAACCTAATTGTATGTCTAGGGAGCAAGAAGCAACACACAATCCAGCTGCTCAGATTTGCCCAAAAGTTTAATGATAGCTCTTGAGAGCAGGTGTACTTTGGTTGAAATTTGAGAATGTTCGCATTTCTTTCAGCATAATAGAAAAATGACTTTTCTTTGCATTTTCGTATTCATATTGGCAGGAAGCTGGAGACTGTATATCTTGGCTTTATCAGTAGCTTTCCAGTGTCTCAGACAGTTATTTATATCTGTGCTCCTATAGCTTATGTGGGATAAATGGTGCAGAGGTCTCTAACTTACTCCGCCTCTGAGACATGGCATCCTAATTTCAATCCTCACTGAAAGCTTTTCATAAAATAGTATGTTGCTTTCCTGTTGCATTTACCAGCAGCATTCCCAGGACACTCGTTGATCACTGACCCATCGATCATGTAGAGGCATGATGTACATTGGCCTTGCTTTGGGTCATGGCTTGTAGAAGCCTGGACATCAAGTCAGCTTCCCTCACAGCGCCAGTTACACTGCTGGGCCATACAAAAGTTCATGACAGTGACCCTGCCTGTGTCGTGTCTGCCAGGGTAATGCACGATGAAGTGAGTGACACTGAAAACATAAGGAAGAACCTTGCCATAGAAAGAATGATCGTGGAGGGCTGTGATATTTTGCTGGACACCAGCCAGACCTTCATCCGCCAAGGTAAGTCTTTATTCAGCGGACCCCCATCTGAGCCATCTCTGCTCTTGTTACATTATGACTGGCAGATCCAGGAAAGCATTTTGGAGCAGGTTTGATTTAGCTGTGCGATTAACGCGGTTCATGCAGGATATCCCCATGGTCTTGACTGAGGCTGTGGCTGAGGCCCACCTTTGTGCTGTTTCTTTTCAGGGGCCACAAAAAACAGCAACACAATAATAGTAAAGCAGGAGTGGCACAGTCCATTACGCTCTGACTGGACTCTCCTCCTCAGTGGGCCGGACTTTCTCTGCAGCTCCAAGGAGGACAGATCGGCCTGGCCAACTGGAGTGTCAGTGCCAGGTGGTGACGACATCCAGGCAAAGGTCCAAGAGAAACTTGCATTACTTAAAGCCCTTTCATGTAGCAGTGGGGACAATGTCCGAAGTGAAAACAGCTGTCTCCTGTTCCCATTTTTCATCAGCACTTCTGGAGGCCCCACATGATATGTTTGATTCAACTGGTAGCTCCAGTTACCACGAAATGTCACGCTTGACCCCTGCCACACTTTGGAAATGGCAAAGGCATCTCGTGTGTGGTGTGTGCTTTGGTAGCATCTCCCAGTAAATGCAACTTTTGAAGAGTTGAAGGTGTTTGTGCTGGAAACTGTAGAGAAAGAATTGCCTAACGGTGCATGTCCCTCCGCAGCTCTCATTCCAAAGTGCAGAAAGTAAACCACATCCCAAATTACTTTTAAGTGCTGAGATGTTCCGGGGGAGGGAAGCATGCCCAATGGAATTGATTTGAGACAGGATACTGCACATGTTTATCATTTTGAACTTGGTGAAAAGTGGCACAGAAATTTGAGACTAATCTTTAATGTAGTTTCTATTTACAATATGCTAATATTATTTGAAGGTAATTTGCATTTCTGTTGCCTACCAAAATGAACTGCTTAAAATATTGTTTACCCCATCAAACCAAACTTTTGTGCTATGCACATTAATTTTTGCATAGACTACTCCAAAAATTTAGCACATGCAGTTCTACTTTCCATTATTATTTACAAAGAGAGAAATCACACACGTGTTAAAGTTTGGAAGTATTTTGTAGGAAATGAAGTATATTGTAGGAAATGTTTCTCATTTTTGGCTTTCATAATTAATTCTTTTTAAAATAATAGTGGAGTGTAATGCCAACGCCAGGCCTTCTTAACTTCCCTCCGTCCCTCTGCACAGACCGTGTCTCCGTGGCGGCTCCCGCCTTCCCTGCACACTCCTGCCCTGTACCCCTAGTGTGTTGTCAGCCAGCCTGGGCACCGGGAATGCCCTTATCCATCCCTTTCGTGCCTCTTAAAGGTCTGCTTTTCCTACCAGGCTCAGCTCAGACACCTTTAAGGAGCCTTTTAAAAATTTCCCCTTCATCTTCCTGTGCCCTCCCCTGCAGCTGGAATGAATTTACCTTCCTTGCCCTCTCCACGGCCCTTTGCTCCTGGTGCTTGTATTTCAGGCTCTTGTGCGTTATAGGTACATGTTTGCACGCCTGTCTCTCCCAGGAATTATGACTCTGAAGGGCAATGTTTATGAATTCACTCTTGCCTGGTACGATGCCTTCCATGTTACCTGAATGATGGGCATTGGATTAAATTGAACAGCTTGTTGAATTGCAGTTTTGGTTATAAGGTATCTTGTTTTGTGTTTTTCTTATGTTTAGAGTTTACTGAAAAATACTAATTGACCTGAGCTTTATAATATGTGAAAATGGAAACTATTGTATTCAATTTCTGAAAAGGCTTTTGATCGAAAAGGATGATTACACTTAAACATTTAATATATTTCCATAAACTTAGACTGTTTTAAGTTTGTAAAAAGCATCTGTAATGAAAACTACCCGAAGGTTAAACCTATTGAATAAGTCATACTTTTTTTCATTGCACCTGGAGGAAGATCAGTCACAAGCCACTTCTCCCTTTAATTCAAGCCCAGATGTTATTCATTGATTGTTTTGTATCACATGTTTAAGGCAATCCTGTCAGCTACTAATATATCTGATATTATTATTGTATTGGTGTTGATGCAATGATTTGCCTTTCAACTGTATTTTTCTGTATTGTTTGGTTTGGTTAGTCTGTTTAGGAATTATTCAATAAAGGTGGTTTTAAAAAATCAGACCTTAATCTGAAAGTAGGAAGTAATCGAATTACAGACAGTTTGGAAAGTTTGCATTCTTTTGCTTTTGTTGTTCCTGTGATCACTTTTACTAAATACTCTTAATAGGCTTTAAAACCCATTGAGGTGTGTGGTGTTGTTTTTTTATTGTTTTAAACTTTGAGGGATTCTATTTTCTATGAAATGGACTATAATTTATCTCTAATTATGTGCTAATATTTTGTGTTATTTACTATTAGGGATGACATAAGGTCTATTTCAGAGTGTGTGTGTATGTGCACATGCGCGTGCAATTTCTACCTTAAATGAATTTTTATTCTGAGGACTGGAAAAAAGAAATCATCTGGATTCTCTGAAAGGCCTTTTCAGAATAAAGGCATTAGCTAATCTTAAATGTCAGTCCATGAGAGTTTAGTAATCTAAGTAACAGAAGTTTTATTATAAATTGATTCCAATTATTAATAGTTGATGAGTAGGATACAAAGGAGTGTCTTATAGCAGTAGCCTGACGCTGTCATTCATTTTCAAAACTCTATTCAAAGTTTGTTGAACAAATAAATGTATAAGTGTCTGAAGCAATAATAGGAAGACAGTATAGCCATGGCACCGAAGGTCAGATGCTATCTCCTCCACTTTTTTGCTGTGTGATATTGGGCATTTTAATTAACCTCTCTTTGCCTCTCCTCAAGTTGTGGAACCTATCTTTTAGGGTTCTTGTGAAGATTAAAGGAGCTAATGCTCACAAAACAAGTAAACTAGTGCCTGTGAGATTATGATATAAACTTTAAAAACCAAGACCCAAATTTTGGAATGAGTTTGTATTTTCAATAACATGAAATATATGTGAAATATAGTAGAAGATTAAGGCACTCTAAATTGACATTTGTACAAAACCCATTATGCATAGTCAACCTTGTCTTGTGGAAATATGAATTAAGGAAATGAAGTCAGAGCAAAATGAATTCAGAGCAAAATGCATTGAGAATGAGTCATGGATTTCTCAGGTACCTTAATCATTCCCACACAAAATCATGTACTTTCAATGTACCAGTGTTCTTTGAAATTGTCCAGCAATACTTACATCTTCTCAAATGCCTAACCCAATGACCTGGAAATTGCTCTTCAGTCTTTTTCACTACTGAGTGGAATTAAGACTGACGAATGTCAGAGGGATGGAGGAGGGCAGGTGGGTGGAGGGGGAGAGATTAACCAGAGAATTTATACGCATCTATGCACAACCCAAGGACACGGACAATGGTGTATTATTTGGCCATAAAAAAACACAAGGAAATCCTGCCATTTTTGACAACATGGATGGACTTGAAGGCATTATACTAAGTGAAATAAGTCAGACAGAGAAAGCAAATACTGTATGATCTCACTTATATGTGGAGCCTAGAAAACAAAACAAAACAAAACAAAAAACAACCGAACTCATAGAAAAAGAGATCAGATTTGTTGTTACGGGGGGCAGAGGGTAGAAGAGTAGTCAAAAGGTGCAAACTTCCAGTTATAAGATGAGTAGTACTAGGGATGTAATGTACAGCGCAGTGACGTAATTAACACTGCTGTGTGATATATAGGGAAGTTGTTAAGAGAGTACATCCTAAGACTTCTCATCGCAAGGATACCTTTTTTCTCTTCTTTTTATTGTTTCTATATGAGATAATGGATGCTAACGAGCCCTATTACAGTAATCATTTCACAATATATGTAAATCAAACCACTGTGCTGTGTGCCTTAAATTGATATAATGATGTGTGCCAATTGTTTCTCAATAAAACAGCGGGGGGGGG